GCTCGGGGGCCGTCAGACGCCACCTGGTGGTCACGGGTCGTAGGCGTAGGCGCGAACTCTCCCTTTCTGTTGGCTTGGGAAATGGCCAGAGGTTAGACTTTAGGAAGAACTTCCCTACGGTGCTCTATCAATGTATTTAACAAAAATAACTTACTTCATGCAAAGCACAGGACTTACCCCGTGGGCAACATAGTGAATGGATGACCAAGGTCCCCTACCTCGGAGACTTCAGCTTAGTGACCTGCTGCTGCAGAATTTTATACAGAAAAGCTTGGGGGGGGGGCTGCAGTTTTGCAGTGAATTGGTTGGGATGTAGGTCTTGAAGCTGCTTGGTCGCCAGTATATGTTATATCAGTTAGGAGAGTGCAGACAGGAGATGGACTGCCTGGTTTAAATCCAAATTCTAACCACTTCTTACCTGTGTGACCAGTGGGTAAGTTAACCTCTCTGTGCCTCATCTGTAAAATGGGGTATAAAAGTTCTGCTTCATAGGGTTGTTCCAAGAATAAAGTGAGTTAATCTGTATAAAGGTTTCTTGCACAGGCCCTGAATCCTGTTAAGTCCACAATAAATATCAAGTTGTTAATACATTTTAAAAGAAAATTTTAGTTAGGTTTGTGTTGCAAAGGAATACAAATTGTGGAGGTTCTTTCATATTTTGTATATGCTTTAGAAGTTGTCCAATATGCCTGCTAGAGAACATCATCTTTATGGATAAGACAGTGGGCAGAGGAGATAGTAAGTGTTAAAGTTCTAAGTCACTTCAGTACTTTGTGAATGGAGGAGATAAGACACATGTATAAATACTTAGGACAATGACAGATGTTAAAGAGAAACATGAACTAATGGGTGTCTGTTGCATGGGAGAGTATATACAACTGGGATGGGGGCAATCAAGGAAGTCTTCCTGGAGGAAGTGGCATTTGCACAGGGCTTTGAAAAATAGGGAAGAGGAAGTGGGATCTGATTGGCTATCTGACAGGGCATTTTTTGGATGAGAGATATTCTCCTGCATTCAATTATAAACAGCTATTTATCAAGCACCTGTTTGTATAAGCCAGGCATGGAGAACCCCCCCCCCCCCGTAAAGTGTCTGGAGATACTTTTCATTGTGACAAAGAGGCAAGGGTAGGGTGTGTGTATGCTACTGGCATCTAGTGGGTAGAGCCCAGGGATGCTGCTAGACATCCTGCTCTACACAGGAGGGTCACACACAATACAGAATTATCCAGTCAGTGGTGCCAAGTCTGAGAAGCACAAACTGAAGCCAGACCGGAAGAATGTGATGGACACAAAGGGAAGCTTGTTGGTTGTTGACCTTGGCCTCAGACCTCCTTGCACTAACACTGAGACCCTTGCTCACACACTCAGAACTGCATTATATGTTTGGAGAGCTGCACTGTTATTAGCCACCAGGCTACATTCTGGCATTGAAAGGGCCCTGGCACCTGTTCCAACTCCTTGCAAAGTAGATATCACTGCCCTATCTTTTCAGCCAAGGAAATAGGCTCAGGGTAACAGAACAGAGAATATTATGGCCTCCCAAGAATCTGTCCTCCAGATCCTGGGAGGTGGTCAGAGAGAAGCAGGCATATCTGGCAAGAGGCAGGGGACCCCATGGCTTTGCAAAGATGTGGAGGGACCCCTGTAGGACTCAGTGCCTTTCCCTCACCTCTAGGTTGCTTCTCCACAAGGGCAGGTGCTAGGAAGTGCTGTGTGGCAACCCCAGTGTATGTCTGGTTGGGGATGTGGGAGAATTTCCCCAGAACTCACATTCTCTGCTCTTAGAGTACTTTGATAGGACTTACTCTAGGACAGTGATTTTCAAAATGTGTGTACCGGCAGCTTCAGCAGCACCTGAGAACTTGTTAGAAAAGCAAATTCTCCTAGTGATCAGAAACTCTAGGAGTAGGGCCCAGCAATCTGTGTTTTAGCAAGCCCTCCAGGGAAGACTGAAGTTTGAGAATCACTGCAGTAGGGTACATCTCAGGCAAAATTGTGAATTAAGCCAATGTTACGAGATGATCTTTCAAATCTAAAATGTGAATCTAACCACAGTAGTCCCGTTAGTTCTCTTTCACCACCATCAAGATATGTGCTCTCTTCACTCCCTTCTCTGTACCCTGCTGATCAGGTAATCTAAGTGTACCAGTTAGGATTAGGTTTTGCTGAGTGTAACAGAGAACAAGAAAATAATGTTTTAAACAATTTAGAAGTTTCTGTCTCGTTCACATCCAAAGATGTGGAGAAATTGATATCCAGGCTTCCTGAGCAGTTTGACAAAGTTATAAGGGATCCAGGCTCCTTCAGCTTTCTGTTCTGCTATCTGGGGTGTGGCCCTGGTCCTCGTGGTTCAAAATAGTTGCTAGTATGTCACCATCACATGTGTGTTCTAGGCAGCAGTGTGGAGGGAAAGGCATCCTCTCTCTTTAAGAGACACATTCTGGAATTTCCACCGAATAGTTTCACTTGCATCTTATAGGCTAGAAATTAATCATGTGAGCTTACGTAGTTGCAAGAGAGGCCAGGAAGTCTAGTCATTTAGCTGAGCAGCCAATATGTCCAACTAAAATTTGGAAGTCCTGCTATTTAAAAAAAAAGTGGGGGAGAATTGGTATTAAGAGGTATCTGTGTCTATGTTTGCCTTTGCAAACTACTCACAGTTCCCAGAACCAGCAATACTTTCTTTCCCTTCTGAGTCATTCCTCGTGTTGTTCGTGAGTTTTCCATCTCTTTGCCTGGTGTGGAAGATTGGCCTTTCCAAAGAGGGCCAGACCAATATTCATCCCATCTCACATGGACTCCGAAGTCTTGGACACTTCTCAGAAGTGATGCTGTGTGACTTCCCAGTCTGAGTCATAAAAAGGATATAGCTTTCTCCTTACTTTTTTTTTTTTGATTCTTGCTCTGGGGGCCAGCCATCGTATTTTGAGGAAATCCAAACTAGCCTAAACAGAGACCATGCAGAGAGGAACTGAGGCCCCCAGTCAACAGCCAGCATCACCCACTAGGCAAATATAAGTGAACCCATCTTTAGATAGTTCCAGCCCCAGCCTTAGAGTCTTCCAGCTGAGGCCCGAGATACCGTGGGACGAGTACAGGATGTCCCGATTGTGCTTTGTCTGAGTTCTGGACCCAGAATCTGTGAGCATCAAAGATGTGGACGTGGATTTAAGCCAGCCTGTTTTGGGGTAATTTGTTAACACAGTTGTGATAACTAGAACAGGTAGCCAGCTCTTCCTCTTCCTCTAGGATTCAATTAGATGCCAGATGTGACCTTTTCCAGAGTCCTTTCTGAAGCCCAGCTCTCTGTCCCCACAAGTGTGTCTCAGGCACCTCCTCTGTGCTTCCACACCCTGCAGTGGACTCGTGACTTTCCTTATTTAGCTAGTATCTCTGACACATAATAGACACTGTTGGAGTGAATGAATGAAAGAAAAAAATGAATGATGTTCTTCTTTGTTGGTCTCTTATTTCCTCCAATAGTGCCTTTCTTGTCTTGTGTCTCACTGCCAAGGAAGAGTGGAATTAACCTATACTGGCCAATAGAGGTTTACAGAGTCACGTTATCCTCGAGATGTATATATTTTACTTGGAGTCTCAGAATTTGCAATACCCAAAGTATGGATTTTTAAAATCTTAACCCTGAATCTGAAATTTCTCCTGTCTACACCATCTCAATAAATATTATCTTCAGATACCAAATGGTTCTTGCCAACCTGGGTTCCCACCCTGCTTTCCCTCACTTCCCACACCCAACCCACTAATGAGTTCTGTCAGTTCTGTCTCCAAAACATATACCAGATCCATCCAGTTTTTTTTGGGGGGGGGCAGGTTAAAGCCATTCTCTCATTTGATGACTGCAATCGCCTCGTACTGGGTCTTTCTGATCACTGCCACCTCCCACCCCAGCCAATCCTTTCTTTACACAGAAGGCAGTGTAATTTCTTTTTCCAGAGCAATGATTTATTGTTTTGCACAGATGATCTGTGTTGTATAAAAAGTTAGAAAAAATCTTAAAATGTACTCAAAAGAGCGCAAGAAATCACCCCTCAGATTAACCACAGTGAACGTGTAGTGAATACTCTTCCAGACAGCACAGTAGGTGTGTTTATTTGGTCTGTGGAAGAGGATGCAGGGCAAAAACAACCTTATTCTTTTTTATTCTTTTTTAAATGCATAACTCTACCCAACTAGCATACAATTTACATGAGAGGAAGCAGCTTGCTTTTGTCTGTTCCCTTATATGTCCCCAGAGCCAGACAAGGGTCTGGCATATAGAAAGTTCTCAATAAATATTTGTTGAATAAATAAATCATTACTATACAGATATTATCCATGGCATAACCAGTTTTTATATTTGATACATTTCCTTTCATGGAGAGTTAAGTGTTTTTCATGGAATTTTAAATTGCCTTCCCCCTACTTGTGTTGTCTGCCTTAATTGTATCCTTGTATTCTCTGGGTTCTCCAGGATTGTATGCAATCCCTGGAATGTCCTGTCCCACAGGGACTCTCCCCTCTCCTGGATGGCTCTATCTTGCTCCAACCTGGAACAATTCTCTTTAGGCTCAAGGCACAGTCCTGTCCTGGAACTCCCCATCTGAATTCTGTGCCTTCCTTTTTCTGGGGTTACTCCCTTGTTTGGATGGAGAACAAGCTCAAGGAATGTCCTAAAAACATCCTAAGGACAAGGAAAGCATATCTGTGTTTTCCTGGGGAAAGAGAGCTGACCTCTGCTTACCCCTCAGAACTCACCCTGCACCTCTCCTCCTCCTCGTCCACTCTTGCCCCACTTCCTGGCCCTTCCACTTGCCATGGCCTTCTGCCCCTGGGCCTTTGCACTTGCTGTGCTTCTTAAGCACTCTACCTCCAGCTCATCACTAGGGGCCCCTTCTCACCTTTTAGGCCTGTGATTGCATGTTCCCTCTTTAAAGAGCCCTTCTTGGACCTCTATACCTGACAGTGACCTCTCCCTCTACTCCTGTCTCCCTCCGTCATTTCTCTCCATTGATCTCCTCTGTAGCATGGATCCTAACTGGCAAGTCTGTTGTTTGTGTCTTGCTTGCTCAC